CTGTGTTGATCTGAAGCCAGGAGCCAGGAGTTTCTTCCAGGTCTCCCACACAGACGCAGGGGCCCAAGGACCTGGGCCATATTTACTGCTTTCCCAGGCCATAGCAGAGAGCTAGATTGGAAGTGGAGCAGCCGGGACTTGAACCAGTACTAATATGGGATGCTGGCACTGCAGGAGCCAGCTTTATCCCTTACACCACATCACCTGCCCCTGAATTCTTTCATAGAGGTGATTAGACTACTACAGATAACAGAGCGAACAAGAGCAACAGGCCTGCCTCCACCATACCACTACCTGACTCTGGGTAAGTTTCCTCACTTTCATTCTTGCATCTAGTTATTTTGGAGTACTTAGTTTGTTCCAATCTAGGCCTGCCACATTCTAGTTCTGAGATTAGGTTATGCTAACGTAAGCTTCAGAGCTCTCCTGGTTATATGGGAGATAAAAATGCCTTCCCCATGGTGCTTGACATGCAATGCCAGCTTTCATTCAATGATCAATTATTATACCCCACGGCTACACATCAAAATAAAACTGTCATTTAGTGATTGCTGCCTTTGGGCCAGATATGCAGCTTTCATTCTCTCATAACTACTTTTAAGACCTGCATTATTTTTACCATCTTAGAAACTCAGTTCATAGATATACAGCTGAAAGGTTGCACATCTAGTAAGCAGCAGAGCTAGAATTTGAACACTGGCCTGTCTGAATTCAAAGCCCATCTGTCTCACAGCCCTACTGTTAGCTGGAAGAATAAGACTCATGTACCATTCACAATTTATTTATTTTTATTTTTTATGATACTTTTTTTATTTAATAAATGTGAATTTACAAAGTGCAACTTTTGCATTGTTGTGGCTACCCCCTGCAATCTCCCTCCTACCCGCAGCCCTCCCATCTCCCACTCCCTCTCCCATCCCACTCTTCATCAGGTTTCATTTTCAATTATCTTTATATACAGAAGATCAACTTAGTATATACTAAGCAAAGCTTATTCTCTTTTTTTTTTTTATTTCTGACAGGCAGAGTGGACAGTGAGAGAGAGAAACAGAGAGAAAGGTCTTCCTTTTGCTGTTGGTTCACCCTCCACTGGCCGCTGCGGCTGGCGCAACGCGCTGATCTGATGGCCGCTGATCCGATGGCAGGAGCCAGGTGCTTCTCCTGGTCTCCCATGGGGTGCAGGGCCCAAGCACTTGGGCCATCCTCCACTGCACTCCCTGGCCACAGCAGAGAGCTGGCCTGGAAGAGGGGCAACTGGGACAGAATCCGGTGCCCTGACCAGGACTAGAACCCGGTGCAGTGCACCGGCCCAAGCAAAGGTTTCAACAGACTGCGACCACACACCTGCACAAGATACAGAGTACTGTTCAACTAGTAGTGTTATCGTTAACTCTCATAGTAAAACACATTATGGACAGAGATCCTACACGGAGAGCATGTGCCCAGTGACTCCCATTGTTGATTTAACAATTGACACTCTTGTTTATGACATCAGTAATCACCTGAGGCCCTTGCCATGAGCTGTCGAGGCTATGGAGGCCCCTTGAGTTCACCAACTCTGAACTTATTTAGTCAAGGCCATATCACAGTGGAGGTTCCTTCCTCCCTTCAGAGAAAGGTGCTTCCTTCTTTGATGGCCCGTTCTTTCTGCTGGGGTCTTGTTCACGGAGACCTTTCATTTAGGTTGTTTTTGCCACAGTGTCTTGGCTTTCCTTGCCTATGAGACTATCATGGGCCTTTTAGCCAGATCGATCTGAATGCCCCAAGGGTTGATTCTGAGGCCGGAGTGCTGTTTAGGGCATTTGTTATTCTATGAGGCTGCTATGTGTCCTGCCCACCCCCCCCCCCCCCCCCCTCCCCGCCACCCCGCCGCAGGCTCATTCTCTCCCTTTTAATTCTATCCTTCATTATTTGCAGACACTGGTCTTTTTATTTATTTATTTATTTTATTTTTGACAGGCAGAGTGGACAGTAAGAGAGAGAGACAGAGAGAAAGGTCTTCCTTTGCCGTTGGTTCACCCTCCAATGGATGCCGCGGCCAGCACGCTGCGGCCGGCGCACCACGCTGATCCGATGGCAGGAGCCAGGTAATTATCCTGGTCTCCCATGCGGTGCAGGACCCAAGCACTTGGGCCATCCTCCATTGCACTCCCTGGCCACAGCAGAGAGCTGGCCTGGAAGAGGGGCAACCGGGACAGAATCCGGCGCCCCGACCGGGACTAGAATCCGGTGTGCCGGCGCCGCAAGGTGGAGGATTAGCCTAGTGAGCCACGGCGCCGGCCTGCAGACACTGGTCTTATTTGTGAAATCTCTTCTACCCTTACTCTATCTTTTTGATCAATTATGTACTTAAACTTAACACTTTAACAAGTGAGATGGGTCTACCATTGGAGGTAAGTCCGAGTGAGCATGTGCCAACCTGTATATCTCCTCCCTCTCTTATTCCCACTCTTATATTTAACAGAGATCACTTTTCTGTTACTTTTGCCTAAGAATTATTGCGTATTAATTACAGAGTTCAACCAGTGGTATTAAGTAGAACAAAAAGAATAACAACAACAAAAATACTAAAAGAAATAAAATAGTAAGTTGTTCCTCAACAGTCAAGACAAGAGCTAATCATGTCATTGTTTCTCATGGTGTTCATTTCACTTCAATGGGTTTCCTTTTAGGTGCTCGGTTAGTTGTCATCGATCAGGGAGAACATATGATATTTGTCATTTTGGACTGGCTTATTTTACTCAGCATGATATTTTCCAGATTCCTCCATTTTGTTGTAAATGACCAGATTTCATTTTTTTTTTACTGCTGTATAGTATTCCATAGAGCGCATATCCCATAATTTCTTTATCCAGTCATCTGTTGATGGGCATTTAGGTTGATTCCATGTCTCAACTATTGTGAATTGAGCTGCAACAAACATTGAGGTGCAAACAGCTCTTTTTTTTTTTCCCATTTAATTCCATTTGGATAAATTCCAAGGAGTGGGATGGCTAGGTCCTGTGGTAGTGCTATATTCAGGTTTCTGAGGACTCTCCAAACTGTCTTCCATAGTGGCTTTACCAGTTTGCATTCTCACCAACAGTGGATTAGCGTCCCTTTTTCCCCACATCCTCGCCAGCATCTTTTGTTAGTTGATTTCTGTATGTGAGCCATTCTAACTGGAGTGAGGTGAAACCTCATTGTGGTTTTGATTTGCAATTCCCTGATTGCTAGGGAACCATTCACAATTTAAAGAAGGAAAACTGGATGGGTGTTGTGGCACAGTGGGTTAAGTCACCGCTTGGGATGCCTGCATCTCAAATCTGAGCACCTGGATCGAGTCCTGACTCTCTGCTGCTGATCTAGCTTGCTGCATCCTGGGAGACAGCAGGTAATGGCTCGAGTCCTTCGGCATAGCAACACTGCTGCTGTCGTTTCACTCTCCAGTTGTATGGAATAGCCAGGACTGGGCTAAGCTAAAACCATGAGCTAGAAACTCAATCCTGATCTCCCACTTGGGGGGAAAGGGACCAAGCCCATGGGCCATCTTCCACTGCCTTCCTAGGTGCATTAGTAGGGAGCATGATCTGAAGCAGAGCAGAGGGACTTGAAACAGCCCTCAGATATGGGATTGGATGGTGGCATTGCAAGCAGTGGCTTAATTTTCTGAGCCAGTCTCATCATCTTACAACCGCGCTATGAGGTAGATGCTTTTATTGTCCCCCCCCCCTTTTTTTTGACAGGCAGAGTGGAGAGTGAGAGAGAGAGACAGAGAGAAAGGTCTTCCTTTGCCGTTGGTTCACCCTCCAATGGCCGCTGCCCCCGGCGCACTGCGGCCGGCGCACCGCGCTGATCCGATGGCAGGAGCCAGGTGCTTCTCCTGGTCTCCCTTGCGGTGCAGGGCCCAAGCACTTGGGCCATCCTCCACTGTACTCCCTGGCCACAGCAGAGAGCTGGCCTGGAAGAGGGGCAACCGGGACAGAATCCGGCACCCCGACCGGGACTAGAACCCTGTGTGCCGGCGCCGTAAGGCGGAGGATTAGCCTAGTGAGCCATGGCGCCAGCTTATTGTCCCTTTTTTTACAGATAGGGAAGCTGAAGAAGAGAGTTTAAGGATGCGTGCTACATGACCACTATATGTTAGAAGTGCATAAGCAACGTGCTGTGGGTATTCTGAAGAGTCAGAATAACTGCTGTGACAATCAGAATAGCATTCCTGGGGCTGGCACTGTGGTGTAGTAGGTTAAGCTTCCGCCTGCAGCACTGGCTTCCCATATGGGTGCTGGTTCGAGTACCAGCTACTCCACTTCTGATTCAGCTATCTGCTAATGTGTCTGGGAAAGCAGCAGCAGCAGATCTCCCCAGTGCTTGGGCCTCTGCACCCTCATGGGAGACTTGGAAGAAGCTCCTGGCTTCGATTTGGCCCAGCTTTGGCTGTTGCGGCCATTTGGGGAGTGAACCAGCAGCTGGAAGACCTCTATCTCTCTCTCTAACTCTGCCTCCCAAGTAAATTAAAAAAAAAAAAAAAATAGAGTTCCAAGTGGCATGACAGGTGAGCTGTAACCAGTAAGAATGCATGAGGTTGAGAGGGAGATGGACGGGGAAAGGATACATCAGGCAGAGGAAACAGGTCCTGCAGAGGTCCATTTTCTTCACGTCTCACATCCCTAAAGTCCAAGGGCGGTCCTGAATGGTCTGGTACGGAAGACACTCCACTTTCCTCCATTCTTCCCTTGCATTTCTTCATGTCCTTCTACCCATCCCTGACACTCCTCACAGTTCTCATGTGCCTGTCACATGCTACCTTTCCATTCCACTGCCAGTCCAACCTAAGCTCTTCTTAACTCACAACTGGACCTTCTCAATAGCTTCTCCAGTTTCACTCTCTGCCCCTCTCCAACCAGAACAAAGTTGCAGACTGAGTTTTCTAACAAGCAGCTCAGACCACATAACCGCTTGGCCTTTGAAATCTTCAGTTCTCCCACCTTCTCCAGAGTAGCCTAAACTTCACAGCCAGCTGTCACCCTCCGCACAGCTTTGCCTTGTCTTCCCCGTCTCCTTACATTCCCCTTCTGAAACACTAACACTGGTCCTAAAACTTTGGTGTGAATCAGACTCACTCCTGGGGCATTTATTTAAATACACACGCCTGACTGCAACTCTATACGATTCGGCAGATCTGCGTTGGGTCCCAGACACTTTGGAGTTTTTGTTGTTTGCTTTTTTCCTGTGCTGGAGGACATCCCGTCTGTCAGATTCCTCTGAGTGTTCTAACAGCATTTTTGAGATGTACCCCACCGATTGGATCAATTTTACCCAAATCTGGTAATTTTCCCTAAGCTTTTTCGGTTATTTCAAGAGCTTCAATGGCTCCTCCCAGAGTCTCCTTATTGTCAAATCCCAACGATTCTTCAAGATGAAATGCCAGCTTTCCCCGCAGGAAGTCTGTCCTGCTCGCCTTTGCGCTTCATTGCTGTTTAGCTGCACTTTTCTTGTGGCACCTTTTGCTTATTTAACAAATGTCCGAGCCGGCCGCCAGCCAAACGGATTCCCCCTGTAGAGAGAGGAACATCTTCACCAGTGAGTCTGCCCAGTCCCTACCCTTCAGCCAGAATCCGGGACCAGCGCAACGAATACTATGGGTTCGCGGAAATGAATCAACTGTTCCCCCTAAAAGTCCAGGGCACCCGCACACTATCATTGGCCCAGATGCCCTTCCCCAGCTGTGCAACGACAAGGCACTGGCAAAACTCCGCCTAAAACTGGTCCGGAGGTCCGAGAGCAGGGGAATCCTGGCTGGGAAACAGGTCAGAGTGTGGAACACCACCGGCCTGGAACAAGCGACGCAGGAGGTGCGTCTGCGATCCCGCCAGCTCCACCCCCGAGGTTCGCCTTGGCCTTCGATTGGCTGCTCCACAAGCCCAAGCCCGCCTCACGTTCTCCACGTGACCCACTAGCCTCCGTGGGATTGGCTATCCGGCAAGTGCCGCGCTGGACTATGGGATGCTGGCCAGGCAGCGAGGCGGAGGGGAGGAGACGCGGCACGGTAGTGTGGACCGGAGTAAAGCCCCTGGCTCGAGACCTGGGCTATTATCATCCATTCTCTGCTGCCGGGCCAGGCCTAGTGAGAGGTTCTGGCGCATAGGAATTTTAGGAAGTAGCAGAGCGGGCTGTGGGTCTCTGCCGAGGTGTTTAGTTTGAGCCCTGGCTCCGGCCTTACTCGCCGCAAGGACGCCTTCAGTCTTTGCTGAAATTGGTAGGGTTGGGCCTTATTTTTATTTTTATTTTATTTAAGGGTCCACTGTATCTAGGCATTTGTTGTCCTGCGCGGGGAATGTGTGCAGAGCACCGTGGGGTAGAGGCTGTGGGGAGGAGGGCTTGGAGATGCTAGCGGTGTGGTCCTTAGCCGCGTGAAGTGTTAGAGGTAAGTCGACTTTATAAATTGTGCGGATCCTTTTCTAATCCAGGAGCTGGGGGCTTAGTAGGGAGGGTCGCTCATTTAGGAACTCATCCGTGTACCGGGCACCATTCACCATTCTGAGTGCGTTGGCTGCTAAGGCCAGTAGAACAGTCCTGGTTTTTTTTTTTTTTTTTTTTTGGACAGGCAGAGTGGACAGTGAGAGAGAGAGACAGAGAGAAAGGTCTTCCTTTGCCGTTGGTTCACCCTCCAATGGCCGCCGCGGCCGGCGCGCTGCGGCCGGCGCACCGCGCTGATCCGATGGCAGGAGCCAGGAGCCAGGTGCTTTTCCTGGTCTCCCATGGGGTGCAGGGCCCAAGCACCTGGGCCATCCTCCACTGCACTCCCTGGCCACAGCAGAGGGCTGGCCTGGAAGAGGGGCAACCGGGACAGAATCCGGCGCCCCGACCGGGACTAGAACCCGGTGTGCCGGCGCCGCTAGGCGGAGGATTAGCCTAGTGAGCCGGGGCGCCGGCCCAGTCCTGGTTTTTTAGGAACTCGCTCGCTGTGATGGGGGACGGTGGAAGTAGTTCCGCGTGTGACGCTTGCTGTAGTGTAGAAAGAGCCTTGGGAGTCAGAAAAGGGTATGGCTGAGGGAGGTAGGGTCACTTAATAGAGAAGGTAACATTTGAGTAAAGTTTAAATCTGCGACCAGGCGTTCTCCCCGTTGAAAGAGCTGAGGGAAGGCATTCCAGGCAGAGCAGAGGACCAGGAACGGACATGGCTAGAGAGCATGGCCAGGGTTGTCCAGGGGCTTAAGATGAAGCAGTTAAGTAAGTAGAGGTTAGGCTTTTAAAGTTCTTTAAAAATTTCTTGTTCGGATTCGTATTTAGGTTAAAAAAATACAAAAGTGAAATACATACCACAAAATCGATAAAAATGTGCTTCCAGCATCAGAGGAAAGATGGTGGCTTGCTGGAACAAGGCTTCAGACAAAAGGTGACATTTGGGGAGGCTCACAGAGTGGAGAGGTCGGACTGAAGTACAGGAAAGGGAGGAAGGATTTTCTAGGTGCAGGACACAAGGTCAAATAGAGCAGGTGAGGACTAAGGACTAGTTTGGCTTGGTTAGACCAAAGTATATGTTAGGGCCATTAGGTCAGTTTTGAAACATCTCCAATGCTAAACAAAATCAGTTATTTCCCACACCATAGAGAGCAATTGAATGCTTGTAATGATGTAAGCACACCTCCAAATTTTAGAGTTAGTTTGTGCAATATTCGTAGTACATTGGATTGGAGAGAACCTGGAGGCAAGAGACCTATTGAGGTGGCATTATTGTCTGATTGAGGAAACATGGTGGGCTTTAAAGCCAGGCACTCACTGGTTCAGAGCTTGGCTGTCATCCAGAGTTTCAAGACTTTTGGCAGTTATTTAGGCTCTGTCGGCCAGTTTCACCTGTAGAGAATGATGAGCTAAATAAATGGGCACGCATAGATAGTAGGCACTTTATAGTTTCCATCTCTTTATAGAGCTCAGCTGCTGAGTGAACCCACACCACCAGCTGTCAGAGGATTATCAGTCTTTTGGCCCTTGTAAGTGTGTGGAGGCCCCAGAGTTGTCACTTATTGAGATTCAGGATCACGGTGAAGGTATGGGCAGGGCGCTCTTTCATGTCAGCAATAGTAAACAGCTAGAAGATGTCATTTGGAATAAATGCAGTCAGCTTTCTTTTCCAGGTTCAGAATTGCCCAGGCTTTTCCGTGCTTCCTTTATCTTGCTCATAGCCTCCCTCCCTCCTATCAGTAAATCTAAGGGTAGGAGCCTGGAGAACCTGAACTCAAGCCTTTTATTTAACTGGTGGTAAAATGTAAATCTGCTAGTCGGCCTCAGTTCTTTCCAGCTCTGCTGTTGATTTCCTAAGGATCTGTGGCAAATCATAGCCTCTCTGGGTCCCATGTAAAAATGTCATGACTTTTCTTAAATCTTTGTTGGCAGCAGAATTCCAAGTTGAATTGTATACTAAGTGACCTGGACTTCATAGAGGAATTTAGTAGAAAAACTTGTCTATGTCCTCTGCATTAGAACTAAGCTAAAATTCCCTTTACAGACGTTCCTGAGATTTTATCATGCATGGCTCATAACAAAGTTTTTGAACAGTAACTGCTCTCTCTCTCTCTTTTTTTTTTTTTTTTTTTAAAGATGTGTTTGTTTGTTTGAGAGGCAGAGGCAGAGATCTTCCATCCTCTGGCTCACTCCCTAAATGGCCACAATGGCCAGAGCTGGGCCGATCTGAAGCCACGAGCTTCTTCCAGGTCTCTCATGTGGGTGCAAGAGCCCAAGCATTTGGGCCATCTTCTGCTTTCCCAGGCCGTAGCAGAGAGCTGCATCGGAAGTGCAGGTGGTGGCCCCAGTAGCTGCTTCTTAATCTTTTGTGCTTCAAAAACAAAATACTTAAACTGGTTCATGTTTGCATTTTTATTTAGTGGGGTTGCTTAAAGCAAAGCATAGAAGATAATAGATTTATTGAAAACCTGTGGGGGCTGATGTTGTGGTGGAGCAGGTAAAGTCACTGCAGCACCAGCATCCCATATGGGTGCCGGTTGGAGTCTGGGCTGCTCTACTTCTGTCCAGCTCTCTGCCATGGCCTGGGAAAGTAGTACAACATGGCCCAGGTGCTTGGACCCCTGCATTCACATCGGAGACCTGGAAGAAATTCCTGGCTTCGGATTGGCCCAGCCCTGGCTTTTGCAACCATTTGGGGAGTGAACCAGTGGTGGGAGACTCTCTCTCTGCCTCTCTAACTCTTTCGAATAAACAAATTAAAAAAAAAAAAAAAAAAAGGAGAGGCCCCCCCTCCTTCCCCCTTTTTCTGTAAGCAAGCCTGAATTTTTCTTTTCTTTTTTTTTTTTTTTGACAGGCAGAGTGGACAGTGAGAGAGAGAGACAGAGAGAAAGGTCTTCCTTTGCCGCTGGTTCACCCTCCAATGGCCGCCGCCCCGGCGCACTGCGGCCGGCGCACCGCGCTGATCCGATGGCAGGAGCCAGGTGCTTCCCCTGGTCTCCCATGGGGTGCAGGGCCCAAGCACTTGGGCCATCCTCCACTGCACTCCCTGGCCACAGCAGAGGGCTGGCCTGGAAGAGGGGCAACCGGGACAGAATCCGGTGCCCTGACCGGGACTAGAACCCGGTGTGCCGCCGCCGCTAGGTGGAGGATTAACCTACTAAGCCGCGGCGCCGGCCCCTGAATTTTTCTTAGATGTGAAAATAGTGAGTTGGACTGTTGCTTGGTAACAAAGAACCGAACGCAATGATGAGTGAAGTATAGTCTGACCTGGTATTGCCACTGTTTCAAAGTTGGCTTTGACCAGGGTATGATCCCTTAATCTTCTCTCTGAGCTGATTCTGGTTGTGGTATTTCCACACAGATGTATTCTAACCTATTTGGATACTGGTTTTATTACATGGTAAAATGTTTCTGTGACACTCCTTTGAATTACTGATACTTTCATGTTTTCTTCCTTCCTTAGGCTGTGGTGAGAAGTCTGGCTCTAAAATCTTCGTGGAGAACTACATCATTTCAATCCTGAATCTGGTTCAGTTTCCCTATTGACTTACTGTTGTATTAAAAATGTATTGCTAAATTAACTCTGGTGTTTGTTTTGGTGTAAACCTTTGAAGTTTGGGCCTTTGTTCTGTGGCACAGTGGGTTAAGCTGCTGCCTGAGACGCCAGCATCCTATGTGGGCGCTGGTTCCTGTCCCGGCTGCTCCACTTCCTATCCAACTCCCTGCTAATGGCTGGAAAAAGAAGATGGCTTGAGTGCTTGGTCCTCTGCCACCCACATGGGAGACGTGGATCTGGCTTCTGGCTCCTGGCTTCAGGTTGGCCCCACCCTGGCTGTTGGTGCCATTTGGAGAGTGAACCCATAGATGGACACTCCCTGTCTCTCTTTCAAATAAATCTTTAACAAAAAAACCCGTATAAGAAGTTTAAAATCCATTATGCTCTTACAGTAGTAAAGGCTTTAATATTTAAAATCTGTAGGATATCCCATTACAAAATTTAGCTTTATATTCTTTGTGCTATCAGAAAATGTCTTCAGAATTGCTGAAATTAATTACAAAAACTGTCTTGGCAAAGAAATTATTTTCATTGTCCTATTGGTTTTCTTTTCTTCTTCTTTTTTTTTTTTTTTTTTTTTTGACAGGCAGAGTGGACAGTGAGAGAGAGAGACAGAAAGGTCTTCCTTTTTACCACTGGTTCACCCTACAGTGGCCGCCACGGCTGGCGCACTGCACTGATCCGAAGCTGGGAGCCAGGTGCTTCTCCTGGTCTCCCATGCGGTGCAGGGCCCAAGCACTTGGGCCATCCTCCACTGCACTCCCTGGCCACAGCAGAGAGCTGGCCTGGAAGAGGGGCAACCGGGACAGAATCTGGCGCCCCCGGGACTAGAACCCAGTGTGCCAGCGCCTCAGGCGGAGGATTAGCTTATTGAGCCGCAGTGCCGGCCCGTGGTTTTTTTTTTTTGTTTTTTTTTGTTTTTAAACCCATGTTTACAGCAACCTGCCAATGCAGTTTTTATATAAGGAATTTAAGCGTTTCTGATAATAAGGCTTAATTTTGAGTATTGGAATAAAGTTTTTTACTTATTTGAAAGGTTAAGACAAAGAGATCCTCTGACTACTGATTCACTCAGCAAATGCCCACAATAGCTTGCCTTGGGCCAAGGAGAAACACAGAGCCTAGAACTCAATCTGGGTCTCCCATGAGGGTAGCAGGGACCCAACAGAGTCGTCCTCTGCTACCACCCTGGGTGCATATCAGCAGGAAGCTGGAGCAGAAGTGGAGGAGCTGGGACTCAAACCAGGCACTCTGAGGATGAAGGTATCCTAAGTGGTGTGGCAACTGCAGCATCCAGTGCTTACCTTCTGTCCCAATTACTGGATTAGCGAAAAGCAAAAATGTGAATCAATACACAAATACCTCAAAAAGCCACAGTAGTATGAATGAAAATTTATTGTAAATACCTCAAGTAATCTTTTAAGTTTACACATTATCCTGCTAACATGGAACAGTTCTTTGTTAGAAACATTCTTAAAATTGATTTAAATGTTTTAGTAATAGCCAGAATAATTCATGCCAGTTTAGCAAACTCTTAATAGCAAGCAGAAAAAGCTTATTAAAAGATCCTTTCTTTACACAGTTAAGTATTTTACTTTATATGTTTTTATTAGCTTTGCTTTCACACTGACATCTTCAGACTATGTTTATATAAACAATCTCTGTTTTAACCGGTTTCCCAATAAAAGACATGTATGGCTCAGAAAAGAATCTTAAAAATCTGATAAACTGTCCCAAACGTCACTGGGTCACAGTGTACAGCAGGAGCATTGTTCTGTAGTGCTCTGAGTGTTTCTGTGAAGAGCAGGTGCACATTTCACATTGTTTGGTAAAACCACCACTTCAGGAGGCAGATAAATGCTTTCTTTTACCACTCACTTCATGAAGTCTAACCTGAGTTTTTTCCTGAGAACTTCTATTGCTCTTAATTTAGAAAAGGATAGAAAAACCTTCCCCTAGTTATCCTTATATCCCCTGCCAATCTCAAGTCTCCTACTTAAACCAGCTTGGTCATTTGTAAGTAGGGGTCTAGAGAGCAGACTAAACGGTTAGGATCAAATGGGTCTGTCCTTTTAAAAAGAAATTCTTACAGTTGTTTGAAGTTCATAGTTATCAGTTGAGGCTGAGAAGAATGTGCTATGTGCCATTCTGAAAACCAGCCCTGGGGCCTTGCAGTGCAGCCCCTAGGAAGGAAGGTGCTCAGTCCCTTCAGTTCTCAGGGGAGTACAGTTTGATCAGATGTTGTACTTCGGTAGGATAGCCTGTGATGGGACAGGCTTGGTGACTCCTCACATAGTTAAACACACAGCGGTAACAAAACACATAGCCAGATGTGGCAAGAACGGTATCATTCACTCGGGTTTTACGACACAGTGGGCACACTGTCTTCAATTTAGGTAACAGAGGGGAATCAGAGTTGTAGTCTAGGTGTACAGGGGGTGGTGGAGTAGGCAGGGCAGTCAGTGATTTGATGGTTTCTTGATTTTCCGATGAGTACCACCAGTCCAGGAACTGCAGGAAAAATACGCCCACAGAAAGGCCAGTGGAGAGGGATATGGCCACGCCCCCCACAGCTTTCTTCAGAGTGGACTTAATCTGCTCACTGATGCTGTTGGGAGAAGAACAGAGGCAAAGAGACTTTAGGTATAATCACTGAGTGACCAACAAATGCAGTGATCACAGGTTTGGCATTTGAATAGGTGTGAGATTGGCACTTCCTTAAGGATCCATCCTAAACAATCCCTTTCTGATCTTAATGTTTGAGGGGTACAGAATTTAAGCTTTGTTTTTAATGACAAAGGGTCAGGGTTTTGTTTTGAGGAAGAAATTAAGTGGAGAATTTTTCTATGGAATATAATGCAACCAGAAAAAGAAACAACTAACACATGAACTCAGCAGCACTGAGCAATGTGTACCTTTAAACATGTAGAATACACAGTAGCTAGAAGTGACACAGCGTCAAAGAACACAGCTGTTAGAACTGTACTGCCGGCCAGCGCCGCGGCTCACTAGGCTAATCCTCCGCCTTGCGGCGCCGGCACACTGGGTTCTAGTCCCGGTCGGGGCGCCGGATTCTGTCCCGGTTGCCCCTCTTCCAGGCCAGCTCTCTGCTGTGGCCAGGGAGTGCAGTGGAGGATGGCCCAAGTGCTTGGGCCCTGCACCCCATGGGAGACCAGGATAAGTGCCTGGCTCCTGCCATCGGGTCAGCGCGGTGCGCCGGCCGCGGCGCACGGGCAGTGGCGGCCATTGGAGGGTGAACCAGCGGCAAAGGAAGACCTTTCTCTCTCTCTCTCTCACTGTCCACTCTGCCTGTCAAAACAAACAAACAAACAAAAAAAAACCTGTACTGCCTTCACCTGAATCTCAGCTCTGCAACCTTCCAGCTATGTGGCATTGGCAAGGTAGTCAGCTGTTACGGATTAGTTTCCTCAACCTCATTGGTTTGTGATGAGGATTGAGCTAACAGAAATGGACCTTGTATGATAAAGGTGACCAGGATGTTGGTCCTTGTTTTAAGGACAAATAACTTTTCTATGATTCTCTCAAATAACTCAAAGGAGACAGGGTGGTAAATTTCCTGAAACTGGGAAATCTTAGAATTTATTAATCAAAGCTTTTCTTGAAATGTTAAGGCCTTACCTCTTTGCCGGTTGCTGGATCTTGCTGGCTTCAGCCGGTTTGCGCTCCAGAGCTTGAATATCCTGAACCGTCAGTCGACCTAGCCGAACGCCAGCCAGCTGCAGCAGCGGCGAGTGATGCTGAGCTTTCCCTAGGATGTAGCGAAGCTGCTGTACGAGAAACCAGCCCTCCCATGCCATGTTAACGAATGGATAGGCTGCCAGGAAGGCTCTGTAAAACCGTTTCCAGTGAGAAGAAGGGGGATGGATGGAATATTCATCCTCTTCTCGCAGGCTAGAAACCAGCTTCTCCAGCTTCACTTTCAGGTATGGAAGAAGAACCAGGAACATGACCGATTTCCACAGCTGCTGCCTGGGGAGACCAGCACTGGCCAGCCGCTGAACTGCGTGTGTGTCTCGCATGACAATCCTCTTTAAGCCATAAAAGTTTTCAGAAAAGGAGGCACTGGTTTTAGATAGATAGTGCTGCTGAAGCAGAAGATCCAGCAGAGTAAAGATCTCATCAAACCATCGCCACAAGAAGCCATAGTAGGCAGGGTTTGATTCTGCAAGAACCTGAGTCAAAGTAAATGGACAGGTGAAATTAATTCCATCCCACACTACTGAGCTTTTTATTTAAAATTATCTTTTCCCCTCTGAATTCTACACACTTTCAGCTTAAACAAGTCATTTGGGTCCCACCCTAACCTCCCTGAAGTGCTAAGTATTCAGGTATTCAGTACAGAGCTTCACCTAGAACAGTGACTCAGTAACGTCTAAGACAGGATATGAATTCTATGCAAATTGGTTATTTCAAACCCGAGGCTACCAAATAAACACAACTCACTGGGTTGGTTTCTACCCACTGGTCCTAAGAACCTTCCGAGAATACCTTACCTTGACCACGTGCTGAAGCGCAGGTCTCACTGCTGTCATTAAACTGTCCTGTGCTACCACCTCAAAGATGGAAGGTTGGTCATCGGCCACAGAAGCAGTTGTGATGTGCGCCCCGTGCTCAGCCATGGTTTCCCCACCAACTCTCTCGTTAGCATGAAAATTTTTTCTTTTTGTATCAAATGCTCAGTCTTAAAGGTAATCTTTCTGCGTAATTACTCCAAACTCCAGTTTTACAGGCAAAATTGAACTGGAGAAAATAGACCCAGAGGTGAAGAGAGGGGGCAGAGGAGAGGGGTCTGAAACTGAGGTCAGGAAAGACGTTAACTCGGACCTGGTTTGTGGAAAGGGGTATGTGGGGAGAAGGTGACTTGTCAAATGCTGCACCCCACAAGGCAGAACATGATTTGGAGGGACAGCTACGGGCGAAGGAGCGCTGTCCACGAGCGGGGTCCTGGAGCTGCGAACCCGGGACCCTCAATCGCGGTGGCTCAAAATCTCGCTGGCTGGGAAGGATCAGGAGAGCCAACGCGGGCCGGGGACGCGACGGCCGGCTCCAGCTGCGGGCTGGGAAGCACCGTCGCCCACGGCCGTCCTTGCGCGCTGACCGCGGGCACGGAGGAGCCCCCGACACCACGCTTGAGGAGAGGTCTCCGCTTTATGACAGAGCCGCACCCGGAAATGGAAACCTCCGGGACCCAGCGGAAGAGAGGCGCTCTAGGCCCGCAAGAGGCCCTGACACCGGAAGTTGGGGACTCTATGACCCCGCCGCACTTCCGCCGCCGCCTCGCTGGCTTTAAAGGAGGCGCCCGCTGACTCTTCTGGGCGCCGACTTGTCGACTGTGTTGCACTTCCTTGCAGGGTCGGCAGCGTAGCTTCGGTGGAAAACCGTCGCTCTGAACTCTCTGGAGCCTTTCTGACGAGGCGGTTGGCGCCACGCCCGGAGCCGGAACCTGCTGCTGAGCTGGGTGTTGGCGCAGGGAGAGGGGCAGGAGAAGCGCCGGCGCTTTCCGCTCTCGCCTGGGCGGAGGTGGTTAAGGGCGTGGGGCCACAGAGCGGGAGAAGGAATCTTACGTGGTCGGTAGCGATTATAAAGAAAAATTACCAGGACGACGAAGGGCCTGTTCGTCAGAGCCCGGCACGGTGGCTTTGTACGCGGGCTGGCAGCTTAACTGGCTTCCAGGTGTCCGTTAGATTCAAGCGTACCCTGGCCGCGGACGCGAACGGGGCTGACAGACCTGCCTGGGTTTCCGTCTGTATACCCAGCTCGGGTCTGCCTCACGACTGCAAACTACAAAGCCCATTCAAGTTTGCATCGTTTGAGTCGCTGGTACAGGTGTGTTGGAGTTTTTTTTTTTTCTCCAGATGTACTGGAGTTTCGTTAATTTTTTTAATGTTTTTTTTTTTCCTCCGCCCCACCCCCCTCAGGTGTAGCCTCTTCCCCACCCCTGGGCTAAATAGCTAGAAATAAAAGGTATTATTCACTGCGCTAAGGACCTCACGGCATAAAGATAAACTGGTTTGCATGAGAACTCTGAAATACAGAGTTTGCGTTTAGTTTGTTTCAATAGGCGAGAAATAATTCATGCACATTGCTCTTAATGGTAGTTTTAACATGTATCTTTTTACTCTACCAAAATACCTGTCAAAGACACACATGGGATCATGATTTATATTATATACAGACTTACCAAACAGGAAAAATACAAAAGAGGAATAGCATCAATTAAAAAGTGGGGAATTAGGCCGGTGCCACGGCTCAATAGGCTAATCCTCTGCCTGTGGCGCCGGCACACTGGGTTCTAGTCCCGGTCGGGGCGCCGGTTCTGTCCCCGTTGCTCCTCTTAAGGTTCAGCTCTCTGCTGTGGCCAGGGAGTGCAGTGGAGGATGGCCCAAGTACTTGGGCCCTGTACCCCATGGGAGACTAGGAGAAGCACCTGGCTCCTGGCTTCGGATCAGCGTGGTGTGGCGGCCTTGGGGGTGAACCAACGGAAGAGGAAGACCTTCCTCCTCTCTCTCTCTCACTGTCTACTCTGCCTGTCAAAAAAAAAAAAAAAAAAAAAAAAAAGGAAATTAGCTACATATAGTAACAAAAAGGCTAATTTAAATACAAAGTTTTTTTTAGGAGTTTATGAAGTAGCTCAGGAAATAAGAAAGGCCATCCCTGACAGAAGAGGATCTGTAGCGTCCTTTTTCTTTAGCAGGAATTACCAGAGCTGTGTCATTCAACCGTGGAGGATGAGACCTGTCTCTCATGTTCTCACGAATGCTGTTCAGCCAATTTTTGTTTGTCATTGTGCTCATCACTCAAATTCCAGTGAACCAGTATCTAGATTCACGTTTTCTTTCTACAGCCACACTCACCCAGAGGAGGGCAAGGCATGTTTATTCATAGTGGAGGCTACCCCAAAAGTAAACACGTTATTACATGAGAAGAGGCATTTAAAGGAATATGTCCAGTATTAGTCAACAAACCTCATGAAGGATCCTATTCTCTGTAGTGTAAAGGAGATAAGATGCTCAAAAAGTGACTGCCCTCAGGTTAAAAGGCAGCAAGAGCCGTGAGATATATTAATTTGGCATGAGTTTGGAGAAGAAATATCTACCAACTGGGAAAAATAAGGCAGTTCTAAATCTGTTGAACAGAAGGCAAATATATTGTCCTATGTAACCAAGCAATGGGAAGAACAGTGTTTCTGACCTCAGCTTCTCCCTGGCAGGTAAATACAATGACGTGACCCAGTATCTCCTGGACTCCATGTCATAACATGTTCACTTAAAAAGTTCAGTGGCTACGTTAGGCCTCACAGGATGAGTACATCTCGGGTAATTCACAGCAGTGGTGAAGGCCTTCCCAGGGTAAGGGAGTAGCAGAGAGTGAGTATAGAGAGGAAATTTGTTTTCTTAAAACATAAAGCAATAGGACTAGTAGAGGTGTGCTGAGAAGTAGATTCAGGTAGTTTTAGAGGGCTTAGATGCTAATTTTAGACCTTATCTGTGCACACTCATCCACCTATTCAGTATCTATCGAGGACCTTCTGTGTGCCAACCATTATGTTCAGTGCTGGGCCCCTCAATTTTAAACATTTTTTTTTTCTGGTGACATCTTTATGAAATCCACCTCTTTCTGCTGAGAGTTATACCTGGAACCAATTTTTTCTAACATTCTCCACCCACTTATGATTTGTTTAATTTTAGTAGGTCGTAAATATAGAATTAACAGTTGGTGTGGTTAATAATTGAGTGATGAAGTTTGGGGATAGATCAAGGATACAGTTAGTTATATGAGTACAAAAGATAGTTAAGGGCTGGTGTTGTGGCAGAGGAGTAATGCTGCCTCCTGGCATCCCATATGGGTACCAGTTCAATTCTTAGCTGCTCCACTTCTGATCCAGAAGCTGCTAATTGTGTGTGGGAAAGCAGCAGAAGATGGACCAAGTGCTTAGGCCCCTGCACCCATATGGGAGACCAGGAAGAAGTTCTTGGATCCTGGCTTTGGTCTGGCCCAGCCTGGACCATTGCAGCCTTTTGGGAAGTTGAATCAGTGGCTGGGCTGGAATTCTCTCTCTCTCTCTCTCTCTCTCTCTCTCTCTCTCTCTCTCCATCTGTTCCTCTCTCCAACTCTGCCTTTCAAAGAAAATAAAATCAGTCTTAAAATAGTTAAACCCATGGTATTGCTAAAGGGTTAGTGTGAAAATGTATGACTGTAGAACTACAAAATATCATTGCCATTCTCTCCCTCAAATGCCACCCATTTTAAAAATATATATTTATTTGAAAGGCAGAGCAACAGAGTGAGAGGGAGAGAGAGAATCTCCCATTCACTGGTTCACTTCCCAGATGGCTAAAACAACAGCCAGGACTGGGCCAGGCTGGGCTGGAGCCAACAGCCAGGAACACCGTCTGGGTCTTTCACGTGAGTGGCGAGGGCCCAAGCACTTGGGTCATCTTAAGCTTCCTTTGTAGGTGCATTAGCAGGAAGCAGGATCTGAAGTTGGGCAGCTAGGACTCAAACTAGCACTCTGATATGGGCTGCCATTGCCACGCTACCCTCTCAGATACCTTCCTATATATCTTCCCTCTTCATTCATGCTTTCTTAGGCATTATCCATAACTCTTTATTCCTCATCTCCAATTCATCATCAAACTTCTACAGCATGGCTTATGTTTTCCCAGCTCTAGTGATCACAGCAATAATTTCTAACACAGTGTTGTTGAATACTGTGGTCACTTTTCAGCCCTTCCTTCTCATTATAGCAACTGATATTGTTGACCACTTATTCCTAAATATATTTATTCCACATATACTAACATACATTTCTGGGGGAGGCTAGGCCTCAGGGATACAAGAGTGAACAGATTGGTTTATATTCTACTTTCATGAAACCCTGAAAACATCCTACAACATCATAGCCTCCTGCTTTTCCTTCTACCTCTTGGATTATTCCTCAGTTTTTTACCACTCAGACATCTTCACCCGAACTCATCACTTCCCTATCATTCCTCAAACCTGCGGCATCTATTTTCAGTGACTAGAGCCACAATTCAATCCTTGACCAAACCCAGAATGGACATTATATTCCTAGTGTCAGACTTCCTGGGTTCGAATCTTAATTCTGCCATGCAACCTTCCTGGATCTCTGTAAAACAGGGGCAGTAATAACTACCTGGTTATCAAGTTGTGAGGATTTAAACATACACTGAAGTCCTTAGAACAGCTGATAGGTAACAAATGCTCAATAAATATTCCCTAGATTGATATTTAAGCCACCACCATCCTGTAGCTGATCTCCCTGGTGAGCCTGCTTTATTTAAATAGAGTTGGAGGCTCTTGTACAGTTCCTGACCAAAGTAGCCTTCCATAAATATTTGTTGAATTAATAGTGGAGTGGGAGAAGACAGAGATGGGTAGAAGTACCCAGGAGGTGAACAGTCACAAAAGGGGGAGATCAACCAATACTTTCACCAAAAAGTGGAGAAAGATGAGATCTGAAAAGCTTTTGGAATGATGGTGAATTTTGAAAACAGCACTTATTCATACTTTCTTAAGACACATACACTCTTACAGAAAGATGTGGGAAATCCAAGGAAATATAAAGAAAATAACTTTGTAAACCACCAAGCAGATAGAACCACTGTTATAGTTGTACATACTTATATTTCTCTCAATTTGGAGTTTTATATTTTATTTTTTCCTTAATATTGCAAAGCATTTTTCTTTATCATTAAGGATTTTTCAAAAATATGATTTACCAAGCATTTTCAGTGTTAGAATTAAATACACGTTCACTGCAGAACATTTGAAAAGCATAGAAAAATATTAGGAGGAAATTAAAACTCTGATCCTCCAGCTCTCTCCTATGGCCTGGAAAAGCAGCAGAAGATGGCCCAAATACTTGGGCCCCTGCACTCATGTGGGAGAGTGGGAAGAAGCTTCTGGCTCCTGGCTTCTGATTGACGTAGCTCTGACCGTTGGGGCCAACTGGGGAGTGAACCAGCGGATGGAAGATCTCTCTCTTTCTTTCTCTCTCACTCTCTCTGCCTCTTTGTAACTCTGCATTTCAAATAATAAATCTTTAACAAAAACTCTGCTCATCCAGCAATAATCAGTTTTAACATTCTGTTGAACATTTTTCTAGCCCCTCCTTTTTTTTTTTTTTTTTAAGGAAATTTATTTATTTGAAAGACAGAGGTCTTCCATCTCTGGTTCATTCCCCAAATGGCCACAATGGCCAGAGCTGAACCAATCCGAAGCCAGGAGCCCGGAGCTTCTTCCTGGTCTCCCACGTGGGTGCAGGGGTCATCCTCTGCTGCCTTCCCAGGTACGCTAGCAGGGAGTTGGATGGGAAGTGGAGCAGCCAGGACTTTAGCTGACGCCCATATGGGATGCCAGCACTGCAGCCTGGGGTTTTAATCTGCTGCGCCATAGTGCCAGCCCCTATTTTTCCAGCCTTTTTGCATATGCAGTCATGTCGCAGGTATTGTTTTGTGTACTTTTTAAGCTTAACCGTTTTATCAAGATTTTCTTGCATTATAAAATATTCTTCGACAACATTATACAGTTCTCTAATTTTTTTTTTTTTATTTATTTTTTTTTTTTTTTTGATAGGCAGAGTGGACAGTGAGAGAGAGAGACAGAGAGAGAAAGGTCTTCCTTTGCCGTTGGTTCACCCTCCAATGGCCGCCGCTGCAGCCGGCGCACCGCGCTGATCCGATGGCAGGAGCCAGGAGCCAGGTGCTTTTCCTGGTCTCCCATGGGGTGCAGGGCCCAAGCACCTGGGCCATCCTCCACTGCACTCCCTGGCCATAGCAGAGAGCTGGCCTG